AATCCACTTGGCGGCCACAGCAGTGGTCGATAACAGCCAAGAAAGGATGGCGACAGTGACGATGGCTAACTGGCTGACAGAGAGAGAGATAGTTATGATAATGCGGCCAGCAAGAATGGGTGCACAACGGCGGTAATGGTGGCGACATCAGCAATAGTCTGTGGCAATGCGGGTTCAGGCTCTCGTTTTGGGGAGAAAGAGAGGAAGAAAGAAGAAACAGAGAAAAAAAGAAGAAAGAAAGAAAGAAAAGAGAAAGAAATAAAGAAAGAAAGAAGGAAAGAAATGAAAAAAGAGAAGAAACAGAAAAAAGAAAGAAAGAACAAGGAAAATAATATTTTTATTTGCTAGTTTTTTTTTTTTGCAATCTTCCCTGGGACAAGACGTGGGCACGTCATGTTGGTGAAAATGCTTCTGACGATAGAGTTGGTTAATTATGAGTTACCACGTGCCCTCTAAATCGAGCGCGTTGTTCGGACTGGCTCAAGAATAAACAAATTAAAGTTAGAACAAAATAAGCGGTATAACTGACCATATAATAATTAGGCGGTAAACACCAGCCATATAATAATTAGGCGGTAAAATCGACTATATAATAGGGTTGTGGCAACCCAATAAAGACAAATAACAAAACAAAATAGAAGACACCAAAATTTACTTGGTTCGGTCAAATTAACTTACGTCCACGGGCGAGGGAGGAGCAAAATTTCTACTATGAAGAAGAAAATACAAAAGTCGTAGGAAAGTGATTCTTACGCCAATAAGGCACTTACAAAAGGGTTTAGGAAATATTCCTAAATTCAAAATAAGAGAACCTAAAATATTTGACTATAAATGGACTAGATGACGCAAGAAACTAATAGCCCATATAATACTCTCTTGAGTGGTGCACCAGCCACTGGCCATTTGGTCCAGTGGTCATCACCCTCTTGGGTGATGCTGGAGGTCAGGGGTTCTACCCCTACCTCCCTCAAATTTGCCACAATATGTGGCTGGTCTTAGTTGACCATCTCCCTTTACCCTTTCCCTTCCCCCTAGATTAGGCTAGATTAGATTATAGGATATCTACCATTGCCGACAAAAAAAAAAAAAAAACTGCTCCACCTTCTCCACATATGCCCCAATGGGCCGAAATCATGAACAACGAATACCAACCAAGTCCAAGCACTGCTTGAACTTGTAAATTGAAAAAGGCTTCGTAAACATGTTAGTAAGATTCTCCTTGGTATTGATCTTTTGAATAAGGACTTTTCCTTCAGCAATGATATCCCAGATAAAGTGATATTTTATATCAATGTGCTTTGTTTTCTCATGATATATCTGGTCTTTAGTCAAGTGTATAGCACTTTAACTATCATAGTGAATAGCCGTAACACCCTGATATAGATTAAACTCGCCAAATAATCCCTTCAACCATAAGGCTTCTTTGATTGTCTCGATCACTGCCATGTATTCTACCTCCGTAGTAAATAGAGGCACAACGAGTTGTAAAGTAGCTTTCCAACTGATTGCACAACCCCCAATGCAGAACACGTAACCTGAAAGTGATATTCTTCTGTCAAGATCCCCGGCGTAATCTGAATCTACAAAACCAATTAGAGTGATTTTATTTCTTCCAAACTCCAAACAAGCATTTGAAGTCCTTTGCAAGTATATGAAAATCCATTTCACAGCCTATCAATGTGATTTATCTGGACAAGATATACATCTACTAACAACACTCACTGCTTGTGAAATATCCGGACGACTACAAATCATTGCACACATAATACTGCCGACTGCACTGGAATAAGGAACCCGTGTCATATATTCTTCCTCTTCATTTGACTGTGGTGACTGAGCAGCAGATAACCGAAAATGATTAGCAAGAGGAGTCCTTACAGGTTTTGCATCTTTCATGCCAAAACGCTTCAGGACTTTCTTCAGGTAATTTTCTTGGGTCAAGAACAACTTTCCTGCTCCTCGATCTCGTTTAATATCCATGCCAAGAATTTTCTTAGTTGCTCCCAAATCTTTCATATCAAGTTCACTTCTTAGCTGTAATTTCAAATTGTGAATTTCTGATAAATTCTTGGCAGCAATAAGTATGTCATCAACGTACAGTAACAAATAGATAAAAGAATCATCATCTAACTTTTGGAAGTAAACACAACTATCATACATTCTCCTTGAATAATCATGACCCAACATAAAGAAATCAAACCTTTTATACCATTGTCTTGGAGACTGGTTTAATCCATATAAGGATTTCTTCAACAAGCAAACAGGGTCTTCCTTACCTTCAATCTCAAAACCCTGGAGTTATTTCATATAAATTTGTTCTTCAAGTTCGCCATGTAAGAAAGCTGTCTTAACATCGAGCTGTCCTAACTCTAAATTATACATGGCAACTAAAGCAAGCAAAATACGAATAGAGCTATGTTTAACAACAGGTAAAAACACATCATTAAAATCAACACCTTGTACCTGACTATAGCCCTTTGCTAGGCCTGCAGGCGACTCGAGCTCGAGTCAAAGCTCGGCTCGAGCTCGGTCAACACGAGCTTGAGCCGTTCGTTAAGACAAACGAGGCGAGCTCGAGCCTTTGTTTCTTTGGCTCGATAGCTCGACGAGCCGCTCGTTAGGCTCGAGTCAGTGTGAAATTACAAATATACCCCTGAATCAATTAAAATTTACAACTTCCTCTATTAGGTTAGATTACCTAATTTTGTTTCTTCACTTCCTTCGATCGATCTTCTTCCTCTGGCTCCGCCGACCGACTGTCCCACTGCCAAACTCCTAATTCGTACTTCCGCTACCGCCATCTCTGCTAGCTCCACCTCCACCACTTCCTCCGGCTCCTCAGCAACCTCCAAGCTTTCTCTGCTGACTGTCCTGAGTCCCAACTCTGTCGCAAGTGCAGCTCCAATGAGCGGGGGCACCCGGGTCCCTTACCTGAGAATCGAAAACACCAGATTCATCCCAGTATGCACGGAGCCAGAAAGGCAACCCTCTTGAAACCATGGGAAGTCCCAAACTCCCAATTCCCCGCTACTGCCATATCTGCTTCTACTAGCTCCATCTCCAGTTTCTCCACCGCTTCCACCAGCTCCACATAGGCAACCCAACCAGCTTTTCCGAACCCAACCACTTCAACGAGGCTGACTGACGTCCGAACCCAACCAGCTTCTCGGTGAATTCCTATCTCTGGATTTTGTCTAAGCTTTTCCAGCGGAGCAAGTGCGCAACCCACTGAGCTTTTCCTAGATTTTTGCAGGTATGTACTCAGCTTCTTTTTCTTTCTACTCAATGCGCCGTTTAATTCAACAATTTGTATAATGAAAATTCTATTAATCTGGATTATAGATTTGTTGAATTAAGTATCTATATATAATAATAGAGCTGCTAAGTGTAGATTTCCTTTTATCTCTTGTAAATTGGTTCACTATCTTGTTTGAAGCTTTTGAGTTGAAGACTTAAAAAGAATGCAACACTTACACAGTGAAACATTGATAAAAAGGTCCTTGTGGTTCAGTGCACTTCTAGAGGGAAACAATAAAAAAACTGGATTTTTCTCAAATATTTGATTTTCAATTGAGTGCTTATCTTTGTTATAAAGAATGTTTAACGTGTTACACTTCCAATTTCTTGCTAAGCCAATGAAGCATGATTCGAATGATTCAACTAATTTTTAGATGGTCTCAATGCTATCAATTTTCAATAAATGTGCAACATTAATTCTTACGGCTTCAGAATGATATGAAATGTATCAGTACAGGAATTAAGTCCTTGCTCTTTTTAAAAGGATAGTGGATTTTGCATTAAGGTTATCTTTCTTTTATTGCATGTACCATCCAACAATTATTTAAATGAGATAAGTTAGATGAAGCAAAGGAATTGAGGAAGGTTGTCATTAAAATCCTTAGTTGATAATCATATCTCCCATTCCACTGGATGTTCTTGTTCCTTTAATTTCACACAGTTTTGATTATGAGTGAATACATAACATGAGGTCATTTGCAATCTATATCATTAAAGTTAATATCTAATCCAGCAATATTGACGCTTGAATTACTTAAATATAGTTTCAACCTTCTATAGCCTTCAAGGGCTCTTGATGATCTAACTCAATTATAGTATATTAATGTCAAGACTCTCTAATGGCTTTGGCTTCATGACATTGATGATTCATTTTCATACTCCTATTCGGTACAAAACAGTGAGGACAAAAAAGAATGTGTTATTCTTTTTGTTCAATCTCATAATTAAATCTCTTTGCTTTTTTTTCATTTGCTATCTTCTTTTGATGGATCCACTGTTCCCATTGGTCTTGATGACTTCTCTTAGATGTGTGTGTCACCCCAAATTAAAGTAAAAAAGAAGATGGACTTTCTTGAAAATAATTACTGCTACTAACTTGTTTCCTAGTAATAGTAATCTGTTTTGGGACTAAAGAATGCTGCTTATGGCTTTTTTTTTCCTTTTGGTATAGTTAAAAGAAATTGAGAATATAAAATGGATACGTCCAACCAAGAGCAATCTTCACCAATTATTAGATCAATTGGTGATTCCGCTAGTCCAGTGAATATCATTGACAAGGGTATTGCTGTTAACATTGACGAAGAGCTGGAATTCTCTCTTGGTGATGAAGAATTAGGGAGTGAAGATGAAGCATTAGAAGGTGATACACATGCAACCACTCAAACAATTGTAGAAGAAGCTGCTGCGGATGATGGCTTGGATGCTTTTCGAAAAAAAAGAGGCAGAAAAAATCAGTAGTATGGGATGATTTTAAAGATGTTGAAGTTGGCCATCAAAAAACTCTCATGTCTGAGTGTATTCATTGCCATGCAAAGTTCAAGAAGACGAAAACTAGTACAACTTCAAGTTTGCTAAGGCATAGGAAGTCATGTGCTATCCGATTGCAAAAACTAAAAAAAGCAACACAACAAACAAAGATCAATTTCCCATCTGCTGATTCTGCCGAAACTTCTCAAACCTACCTTCACTCCGGGACGTTTGATATGGCAGCCATGAGAGAGGCTACTGCTGAATGGGTGCTTATGCATGAGCATCCATTTTCAATTGTGGAGGAAGAAGGCTTCAATTTGATGCAAAAAAGAGGGATGCCCGAATGGCAAAGAATCAATCGGACTATGAACAAAAATGATTGCACATCAGTTTATGAAAGAGAGAAGACAAAATTGAAGAATCAATTAAAGAAAGTCAAGAAAATCAGCTTGACTACAGATCTTTGGAAGTCCAAGAACCAAAAAAATGAGTATATGGTCGTAACCGGGCATTGGATTGATAGTAACTGGAGATTGCAGAAACGGGTTCTCAACTTTCTGCACGTCCCTCCTCCACGTCGGGGCATCCAAATTGCGGATGCTATTTTCAAATGTTTAACGGATTGGGGAATTGAGAGTAAGATTTATACAATCTCAGTCGATAATGCCTCAAATAATGACAGTGCACTGAGATGTTTGAAGGACATTTTCTCCAGAAACAAGTGTCTATTAGCAAAAGGAAAGTTATTTCATGTGAGATGTTGTGCTCATATACTGAATTTGATGGTTCAAGACGGACTTAGTCGGATCAAGGAAATAGTTGACACAATCAGGGACAGTGTGGAGTTTATCAATAAGACAGATGGAAGACGCTTGCAATTTGCTGAAATTGTACGCCAGCTGCAGTTGCCAGAAAAAATGCTAATTTATGACTGCAAAACAAGGTGGAATTCTACTTATGAGATGCTGACTTGTGCACTGAAGTTTCAAGATGTTTTTCCAAGATACAGAGATAGAGAGCCAAATTATGATTTCTGTCCAACCACAGAAGATTGGGAAAAGGTTTCAAAAGTGTGCAATATTTTAAAAACTTTTTGGACAGCAACTCATGTGATATCTGGTAGTGATTATCCGACAGCAAATTTATATCTAAATGAAGTTTGTCGGATAAAAGTGCTACTAGATAGTAAGGTTGATGATGAAGATGATTTTGTCCGGTCAATGGTGCAAAAGATGAAGCTGAAATTTGATAAGTACTGGGGAGAATGTAACTTATTAATGTCTATAGCAGCTATTTTGGATCCCAGATGCAAGATGAGGGTCATAAACTATTGCTTTCCATTACTTTATCCTCCACATGAAGTGCAAAGCAATATAGGCAAGGTTCGACAAGCCTTGTATGACCTATATGATGAATATGTGGAGATACATGTCTCAGGCCAAAGTGGATCATCTTCTCAACTACTAATCGGCAGTGATCACCCAACCAAGAGCAGTAGTAGTGCATCTTCATCAGTGTCCCATGTTTCGGGTATGAGTGAATTTCTTACCCATATTGCTACCGTTGAGAGTGTTCAACCCGTCAAGAATGAGTTGGATACCTACTTTGAAGATGGTCTCCTCACAGCTGCAGATGATTCAACGATAGACATCGTGAATTTGGATGCCTTGAAGTGGTGGAAAGACACGACAAAATACAAGATTCTTCCCAAGATGGCTGCTGATATTTTAGCCATTCCAATAAGCACTGTAGCTTCAGAAGCTACATTTAGTGCTGGAACCAGAGTAATCGACTCTTACCGTGCTTCCTTGGCTCCAGAAACTGTAGAAATGTTAATGTGTGCTGGAGATTGGTGTCGTAAGCTACACGGGGTGAAGAAAAGGGAAAAGGTAACAAAAAAAAATTATCACACATAATATTTAAATTCGGCCTCACTATTTCTTAATTTATTTTATTTTATTTTTTTGTTTTTCCAGAAATTGAAGGATAGACAAGAGATTGTGTTGCCTATTTCTTGACTTCGGAGATGTTTGAGGTAATTTACCTTTAATTTCCTATTTAGAGTTTTGTCCAATTCTAACTCATGGTATTAAGATCACAGAGGTTAGTGCAGAATTGTAGATGGTTATAGAACGCTGGTGGAATGCAATCATATATGCGATGGTTATGTGCTGTGTTGAGTTTGTTCCAGTAGGAAATTAAGGCAGTAGGGGACATCTTGCGCCTAATGCAAGGAGCAATATATTGTATTCTATTGCTTTTTTTGTCTTTTTTTTTAACAGCTTGTGCAATTGCATGGGAAATTGGTGCCCTTTCGATTACATGGAAGAAACTTTGCTATTCTATTGATCTGTTTTACCATTCTTGCGCAATGCAGTAGGCTAACAATGACTACGATCATGTACATGAACAAACATCTTATGATGTAGGCACCCTTGTGCTCCTGTTAACTTATGGTTTCTTTAAGGATTCGAAGATTTGATATTCTTTTCATATAGATGAATAATGTCAATAATGATAGTTGCGTGATTTGCTTGTACTAATAAGTTGATTTCTTTCACATGTTTATGAAATTTAATGATGCAAATGGTTTATATCATCTTGGAAATTGTTATACTTTTTGCATCTCACATTTGATCTTCTTTTGTCATGTATTTCATTTGCGTCATCTATAACTCATTGGGTATGAGTTCTCTGTTATTAGTATATCTCCATTTCATTAGTTATCACGCATGAGTTCTCTGTGCATTGCTGGTTATCACGCATTTCATTTCTTTGATTGATGGTTTCATTCGTATTTGGCATTTGCATTTTTGCCAAATCGTTTTTCTTATGATTCTTTTAACCTTTAGGAATTTTCTGGAGTTGGAGTTGGTGGACTAATTCTCGCTTCATGTCATGCCTTGGTTCTTGTGGACAACAAGCTACTTTAATTTGTATTAGTGGATATTTGTGGAAATTTGGATAATTTGTATTAGTGGACATCTGGATATTTTTGGATAATTTGTATTAGTGGACATTTGGACATTTATGATTATATTAGTGCATAATTTGTAGGCCTCAAGATCAAGAATATGTGAAAAATTGTTGTTATCATGCTAAATTTTGTCAAAAATATGCGGACAAAATTGCTGTTTTCTTGCTTAAATTTGCAGAAATTTTCGAGCTGTTTTCGAGTTCAAACTCGAGCTCCTAACGAGCTAGAAATCGAGCTGACTTCGAGCTATTTGCGAGCCAGAAAATCGAGCGGAATTCGAGCTATTCGCGAGCCAGAATTCGAGTTAGGCTCGCGAGCTATAAACGAGTCGATCTCGAGTTTTCTTTTCCTACATCCAGCCGAGCTCGAGCTTTATTTTTCGAGCTCGACAAGCTCGAGCTCGAACTCGAGCTCGCGTATAAATAAGTGTAGCTCGACTCGATAAATTCAAAACTCGATTCGGCTCGATTCGTTTGCACCCCTACCCTTTGCAACCAATCGTACTTTATATCTTACATCTTCAACTTCTAGAATACCTTCCTTCTTCTTGAAAATCCATTTGCATCCAATAATTTTCTTGTCTGAAGGCGGCTTCACAAGTATCCAAGTTCCATTTCGATGAAGGGATTCAATTTTCTCATTCATCGCAATCGACCATGTTGTAGAGTCATCACAAGAAATTGCTTCTGAATAAGTAGAAGATTCATCTACTGTATCAATCTCTTCTACAACAAACAAAGCATATCCAACAAAATCTGAATATCTTTGTAGTGGTCGAATATTCCTCCTTGGTCTATCACTGGCTATAGAATTCCTCTTCTTCTGAACTATCTTCAATAGTAGATTCAGATGCATCTACTAGCACTTGTTGAATAGAAGATTTGGTCTGAGAAGAACCAGAATTGCCAATATCAAGCTCCATCTGCTTCTGTGTACTATCGAAGTACAAGAACTAGAAGGCTCTTTCTTGGAAGATAACATAAACAATTCATCAAAAGTAACATCTCTACTGATCACAAATTTTGGAGATTTGGAATCAGGACACCATAATTTATATCCTTTCACCCCAGAAGCATATCCAAGAAAAATGCACTTTTTAGCCCTATGCTCTAATTTTCCATCATTCACATGCATGTATGCTGGACACCAAAAAACTTTTAAATTGGAGTAATCAGCAGGAGTATCTGATCAAACTTTTTCAAGAGTTTTAAAATTTAGAGGTGCAGAAGGAGCGCGATTGACAATATAACAAGTCATATTAATCGCCTCTATCTAAAAGTCTTTTGTCAACTCTGTATTGAAGATCATACCTCTCGCTCTCTCAAAAGCGTTATATTCATACGCTCGACCACACCATTTTGTTAAAACGTCATCCTGACGGTGTGGTGTCTAACAATTTTTTCATTTTTATAAAATTCATTAAATTTACCTTCACAAAATTTCATGCCATTATCTGTCTTGAGACGCTTAATTTGTTTACCTGTCTGTTTCTCAATTATAGCCTTCCATTGTTTGAACGTTAGGTAAACATCATTCTTATTTTTTAGAAAATAAACCTAAACTTTTTTCGAATAATCATCAATGAAAGTCAACATGTACCTGACACCACTTTTAGAAGGAGCACGAGTTGGACCCAATAAATCTGAATGAATGTAATCAAGAGTACCTTTTGTCTTGTGAATTGCTGGTGAACTGAGACTGACTCTTTTTTACTTCCCACAAATATAGTGTTCACTGAATTCCAATGGCCCGGTACTTTGTCTACAAAGAAGTTCTCTTTTGCTCAGTATGTCCAAGCCTTTTTCACACATGTGTCCCAAACGCATATGCCATAATTTGGTGATGTCGGTATCTGACAAAGATGATATTGAAACAGCAGCAGCACCTGTAATAGTATATCTCTACAAAATATACAAAGTACCAGATTTGTGTGCCTTCATAACAACAACAGCACTTCGAGTGATTTTGAGAACTCCACCTCCACCTGAATACATGCATCCAATAGACTCAAGAGTGACCAAAGAGATAAGATTTTTCTTCAAATCTGGAACATGTCTAACATTTGTGAGTGTTCTTACAATATCATCGTACATTTTAATCCAAATTGTGCCTTTGTCAATAACTTTACAAACGGTGTTGTTACCATTAAGACAACTCCATCTTCAATTGATTCATATGTTGAAAACCAGTCCCTATTGGGACACATATGATATGAACAACCCAAATCTATAATCCACTCATTGTTAGACCTAATATTATTTTTCATTGCATAGAAAATAGTTCCATCATTCTCCTCAACTCCAATACTAGTCTCGGTGGTCTCACTCTTTTTCTCCTTTTGTTTTTCTTTATTTTTCAATGTAAAGCAATCAGAGATAACATGGCCCTTGTTTTTGCAATAGTTACACACCACAATTTTATGTCTAGATTTGAATCTACTTCTATTTTCTGTATTTCTCTTTTCAGATCTACCCCGAACAAACAAGCCATCGGCTTGGCTCCCACTAGTTTTTCCAGTAATATCCCTATCTATCTACTATTTAGATTTTAATACAGATTTAATTTTTCGATATGAAATTGTTTCCTTTCCATAAATCATAGTATCACGGAAATGTTTAAAGAACTAGGGAAGGGAACATAAAAGTAATAGAGCTTGATAATATCAATTTTCGAATCTATATTCTCTAAATCCATAATAATGGAATCAAATTTATCAAGATGGGAGAGTATAGATGTACCTTCAGACATCCGAAGCATATACAAAATCTGCTTCAGATATAGTCGATTCTTGACTGTTTTCTTCATATACAAGGCTTTCAATTTATCCCACATAGCCTTGGCCGAATTCTCCGTTTACTACCTTCCGTAAAACTTCATCGGAGAGATTCAAAATTATGCTGGATCTAGCCTTCTTATCCATATCAGCAAAATCCGCATCCTTTACATCTTCTGGCTTTTTCTCTATTCCCTGTATTGCTAAATCAACTCCATCTTGAACAAGAATAGCCTCCATCTTCAGCTGCCACATCCCGAAATTGACATTCCTGTCGAATTTTTCGACAACTGTCTTTGTTATCGTCATTGTTGTTACAAAATCTGTAATCTGAAGTTTGTCTCAAAAACTGATCAAACAAATATGCAAGTCTCGTTTGGGGGCCCCATGAGGTGAGCGGGCCCTACAAGGTGAGCAGGCCCACGGATAAACGGGCCCCACAGGATGAGTGAGTCCCACGAGATAAGCGGATCCCACAGGATGAACGAGCCTTATAGGATGAACAGCCCCCACGAGATGAACCTGTCTTACAAAATATATTAACCAGCTCTGATACTAGTTTGTTAGAACTGGCCCAAAAATAAACAAACTAAAGTTAGAACAAAATAGGCAGTATAACCGACCATATAATGATTAGGCGGTAAACACCAGCTATATAATAATTAAGTGGTAAACTGACCATATAATAGGGTTGTGACAACCCAATAAAGACAAATAATAAAACAAAATAAAAGACATCAAAATTTACGTGGTTCGGTCAAATTGACCTACATCCACGGGCGAGGGAAGAGCAAAATTTTTACTATGAAGAAGAAAATACAAAAGCCGTAGAAAAGTGATTTTTAGGCAAATAAGGCACTTACAAAAGGGTTTAAAAATATTCCAAAACTCAAAACAAGAAAACCTAAAATATTTGACTATAAATGGATTAGATGACCCAAGAAACTAATAACCCATATAATGCTCTCTTGAGTGGTGTACCTAAAACCTTCACAAGCCTCTTCTGTTTATAGGAAACTAAGGGGAGGCTTTCTTTGTCTTCTGTCGATGTGGGACGAAAGGAAGAAAACTTCCTTATGCAGCATCCGATGTGGGACATGCCACATCAACACGCGTCATGTTGCCTTATCGGTTTCCAAACTTAAAACATGAGCTTTCTAGGCAATTGGATGTAGGTACGTCACGATGGTGTAAACGCTTCTAATGGTGAAATGGATTATTAGCACATTATCACGTGCCCTCAAAACGCCGGCACATCTTATCTGGAGAAATTCTTATAACCAAGAAAACATAAAAATGAAGATTAAACATACCAAATTCAAAAATCTAAGATAAATAAAATGAAACTAATAATAAAAATAAACTAAAAACTGAATTGGGTTACATCCCAATAAGCGCGCTTCTTTAACGTCCTTGGTTAGACATGGCCCAACTCCATTCAAGTATCATAATGGGATATGCAAGGTTTATTAGTTCCACTTTCTCCATCGAATAACCTTCTCAATGTAGTTTGAGATGATGGCCATTAACGATAAATTTCTTATCCTTCTGCAGGTTCCGAATTTCGACTACACTATAGTGAAAAATATTAGTGACTATAAATGGACTAATCCAACGAGAACATAACTTA